CTATGTATACTGGTCCTTCATGGACAAACAGCTAGAAGAACTGGCTAAATGCTGCCAAAAGTGCGCCAATGGCTTAAAAGCGACACAAAATGAGGAGCTACATTCATGACCAATAGCTATTAAATCATGGTGCCACATCCATGTCGACTTCGCAGGACCGATCAACGGCCGCAATTTCCTCGTACTAGTCGACTCAAATAGCGTGGCTTGAAGTGTTTCTCATGGATATGCCAACCACCAATGCTACTGTATCAGATCTGCGTCAAATATTCAGCAGATTCTCCTGTCCCGAGTCAACTGTAACTGACAACGGCACGCAATTCACCTCCGCAACTTTTACGGAGTTCTGCAAGCAATTCTCCGTCCAGCACATTCGCTCACTGCCGTTTCACCCACGGTCGATTGGCCAGGCGGAAAGGTTTGTCGATACGTTCAAACGAGCTCCCCACAAGTCAGAAGCGGAGGGACGTATAGAGGACGTAGTTGAGCGGTTCTTTTTCCTCTACCGATCAACACCGAATCCACAAGCGCCAGACGGATTTTCTCCAGCGCAGGTTAAGATGAACCGGAAGCTTCGCATACTTTTCGAAGCCATCCGACCGCGCTCAGAGTCATTTGTTGGTGAAACCAACCGCAGAACGGAACAAGACTTTAACAGACGTCACGGAGCAAAGAGACGATCATTTAAACTTGAACAGACAGTGCTGGTACGCGACTATCGAAATGGCTATGCGAAGTGGACTCCAGGGATGCTCAACAAAGCACGGAAATGTCATATATGACGTACTTGACGGAACAAAGATCTGAGCCCAGTATACAAATAGCTGCGGCCAAAGCTATGTCAGCTAGATAAAGCAAAACCTGCCGATCTCCTTTTCGACTTCTTGGTGGAAATATTTAGCTTCCCAAAAATAACGTGGAAGCCTGCACACAGTCGAGCAAGGAAACCAGAACACAGATGTCGGAACTCACTACTCGAGCACTTCAGCCAAAGAGAAGGACGGACAGGCAAGCAACACCATCCCGAAGACTTCAAATTAATCCTAGACTTTTATCATACACGGCAGACGCCATCTCACGTGAGGACGTGTCCAGGAGAAGATACGAATTCCCCGGAAAAGCTATTAGTTCAGCGAGTAATCAATTGTTCTCGATTATTGCATCGATTTCGAAATTTCTGGAAAATTTCGGTGCCTGCACGTGACTAGTAATCACATAAGACCGGCTAAACCTACCTGGGACAACTAGCCTTGGCGGTTGAGCTTCCTATTCCCGAAGTCGAAGGTCAGTAAGAGAATACAAAATACAGAATACAGCCAATTTCTGCTGCGGTTGTACAGTGTTTTGTTGACGGCAGTTAATACGTTATTTTGTCAAGGTCATTAGCGTTCTGCTTTTTCTTTCGTTAGGGCTAGAAGTTTGGTGGAGCGGTAAAGCGCCCATTTCGGAAGCGCGTTTAGTGAGATCATAATAAGGTGTGCAGCTGTTTCTTGATGAGCCGCTTCTTGGCTTAGAGTATGCTGACGACACTACCCTAATATGTGACGGCTCCCAAATTTGTCAATCGTTGGACAGATTAACACTGGCCGTCAATAGTTTTGAACTTTGCTTTGTTCCCTCGCAATGCAGAGTGCTTCTCCAAGGTTGCCAGGGACCCACCCCTGCGTTGATCCTTGGTGCTGCTCAGCCAGAAGTCGTTCAGGAATTCAAACACCTGACAGCCAAATTAGCTCCAATGGGATTAAAGATGAGGTCACGAACCGTATGGCAAAATCTTGAGATGCCTTTGCCAATCTCCGCCGCCTGTGGTGCCGACGTGACCTCACTCTGATCCTAAAGGGCAGAGTTTACAATGCAGCCATTCGTTCAACCCGCTTGTATGCATTATTGTGAAACATGGTCGACAGACGTAAAGAGGTTAGTCACGTTTGATCATCATTGCCTTCGCAGCTGAGCTCATGTCTGGTGGGAACACTGCGTGAACAATGAAGGTGTTCGGTATCGTGAATTTTGTGCATGAAGAGCGAATGAACTGCTCAGCACCGTTGTATCATGCACCAGGCTCCGATGGCTGGTCCACATGTTGCGCATGCCAGCTCACCGGCACCTGCGACATGCGTTGTTTCCGCCACCGGGGTGTGGATGGAATAAGAGGAGGGAGGAGACCAAGCGATGACTTGATCAACTGGAATGAAGTCCCTCACTTTGAAGTTGACGTCGGTTGGTGATTCCCGACTGCCTGGCTGGGGTCCGAAGGACGATGAATGCGTTTGGTTGGACTCAACTGATATAACGGGGATTTTACGGTAATGGCGTTCGTGTTGTGAATCTCTATCACTGTCCTCATATTTAGCTTCACGCTTCAACGGCGATCTCAAACCCAATGCATAATGTGAGTTAAGCATTATATGACTTTTCAAGCTTTGTGTTCTGTAGTGTTTGATGTCTTATGTTTTTGTGTTCCGACGCAAATAACGGTGGTGTGTTTCTCAGCCTCAGCCAACGTGTTTTGATAAAGAGGACCAGAGAGACTAGCAAGTTCCATATCTCTAGCTGGCTGACACCAACCGGCTTCACGGTACCTTTGCAATCTTCTTCTCCATTCGCGAATCAGATTCGGCGTTCTTCACTATAGCTGGTGTGGGCCGGACCGAGCACCATTCATCAATCTGCAACAAGGAGACAACTTTTATCCAGTTTTTCAGCGGGTGACACGAACTCTACTAAGGTTAATGTTGGCAGTAACTAAGTCATCTTTAATGCGCAAACACTGTGAATTCACATGATCGTCAGAAGCTGGTACTTAGCTAACGTCGTAGGGTCTTGTAGATTTTTGATGTTCGGTTGGTAAGGCGTAGGCCTAGATGGTTTTACGGAACACATGCAAACCTTAACGGCTTCCAATGCGTTATTGGAAATCAGACAAGTTGACCACTGCGATCGGCAGGGCGTTACGCTTCCGCGTCATCTGTTGCTTGTTGCTGTGTGGTCAAACTGGGACCAGTCCATCGTTTGAGAGGGCGGACGCCAGGTAGGAGTCGACGTCTTCGTATGTCAGAAACTAGTGTTCGAAAGAAACAGTCGATGACCAGAACGAAGAGTCAGTAGTCTGTCTCAATTGTCTGATCTATTTACCAAGGTCAAAAGTACCCCTATTATTGTGCTCACTTGGTGGCAGGCGACCCACTTCGATGTTAAAATCTCCGACAAAAGTACCCCGGCCGAGGTAGGGGTTTATCTTTGGAGGCCCAAACCCGGGCCTTTGGTCGATGACCTAACTAGCAATGCAGCAGGTCGATATGAGAGCATCGCAACCCGTTGGAAACTAGTGACCTCCAAAGGACCAAGGGTCCAACATACCCTTAAATTACAACACAAGTCACATCACAGTTGTTAAACGGACAGTGGCGCTTATAGGGCGAACGCTTGTCAGGCAAACACTCCGCCTCATGGAACACTGCCGCTGAATCATCTGCTGGAACGGGATAATCCCGCACCATGAAGCTAGCAACACGAGGAGGTTGCTCAACAAGCCCAACTTGCTTGCCGGCCGGTTGAACTTGTGGAACAGAATTTCAGTACCGAAATCGTTTACGCTGACAGTAACCTTGTCTCTGTCTGGCCGCGATAGTATAATCTCCTCCTTTTTCCTCAGTGCTCCCAGTTTGTTAAACTTTTTTCTAGTCGCTAACTTCCTAGCTGTCTGTGTGCGTCTAATACTGGCAACCTGATTGAACCAAGATCGCCTTACACTTTCAACATTTAATTCGCTTGCAGACACCAAGCTAGCCACCTGCGTGTAAAGATTTTCAAACGGCACTTTTATTCAAGGTGTTTGGGTCCTGACTTGGGGCAACAACATTTTGAACCCAAGGACAGCACTTTAAGGGTAGTTCTATCTAGCTGCAGTGATTACAGCTTGTGAACCTACCGCTCAGGTTCCTTCGGAAATTCCACCCTAAACGTGAGGGGGGCTGACATGTTTGTTCAGCTTTAGCTCTTTACCTGCTGCCATTTTGCTGCAGACCGCTGCACGTACAAGACAAATAATGCCTTTTCTCATAAGTTAGGTGATAAAATGCTAGTGATGTATAGTATCGGTTTCCTTCTAAGGCGCTTAGCTTCGCCGTCCAAATATCCCTCTCGTTTAAGACCAAAAGTCGTTGTGCCTCCTCGGTGATGTTGACATCCCTTCGTCGAAGCATAGTGAAATAACCCTTTAGATATTCACCACGATGGATACAGTTGGTCTGAATCCGACTCGAGTTGTTCGTCTCCGAATGCTGCGTATAGAATTTAAGTTCCATGTGTACGGTGGGATCTGTGGTTTGTTTCATATGGTTTCAGTCATGAAGAGACGATCTGACAAACAATCTCGTTGCTGAGTAGTCTATCGTGTTTTATTCACGTAACCAGGCTTTAACTATCAACTAGTTGTTGCACAACTGTGGGTTGATCAACTTTGGTCTACTAAAGTTCCGGTTTGCACGAAAGTGCGAACCTCAAGTGCTACGACGCGACTTTGTCTCATCGTCGCACAGCTGTAGTCGCCGCCACTTGCAGGTGCAAAACAAAAGGGGGCAAGTGCGTTCACCAGGCGTTTGGGTTAATTCGGCCGAACAATGCTTACATGATTATCCTTCGTTGAAAAATGAGGTACTTCCGCGAACAGTTGTGTGGTTCAATCCGATGGAAGATGCGTAAACCATACTAACTGGAGGCTTGTTTTTCTTCAGCTGCAGCAATCTGGTCACTCATCTCAGACCACATAGTAATGTAGATCCGTGAATCAGATTGACAGCCTTTTTTCAGCACTGCACGGATACTAGGTGGATATACCGTTCTACAGTCGACGTTTCTTACATTCCTTTTTATTATTGGCTGGGTTCCATATCGCTTTCATCCCTAGATGTTATATGGCCTTCTTATTTCGACCAACATCGGGATTGCAACAGCTTTGATGCCGAGATTTTATCTATGAAAAAATCGATAAGACTGGACTTCATTTTAAACCAGTGGTGACATCAGAAAGCCAGCGTTTGTGTGGTTTTCGGCATGTTGGCGAATAAAAGCGCTGTAGCAGAAGTTATTCAAGCAACCGTGAGTTACTTCTAATTCCAGTTAATCACTTACGATTATTCCGCTATGGTTTTGTTCACTTTACTTATCTTGTCACTGACACTGAAGGTAGTCCAGGTCTTAACCGTACCTAAAGCTAGCCTCACAAAACCAACGTGGTCTTTAATTCAACTTAGTCCCTAGTTTGTCTCAAATCAATTTATCTTTCGTTGATCCCCTAAACACACTGAGGGCAACGGGTTGCCATTTAAGCCTTTTACCTATGACTCTGTTGACCGCCATCTTGTGATCGTTTTACTGTTGTGTCTATCCTGCTCTCTATCTGGTCGCAGAACATTAAATGTCCATTCGGCTGAAATGCATTAACGAGCCCTGTCCAGTTAGTCACTTGCTCCGGAACTCTTACCATGCGTTTACGTACTCGGCGTACTTTAACGGCTTCTCAGATGACGCTCCCGGATGCAATGTCTACTACTCGATTTCTCATACAAATTTGTAATCTCAGGATCATCCACTGATCCAGTATTACTTGCTCCCGGCATTCCTATATATATATACATATATATACACATATATATATATGAATTGAAACTGATGTTGCACTCATGACGCTTTTTCACCGCAGTTGGGCGAAACCAACTTGCACTTAAATTATGTCCTTTTAAGCTGTGTAAATTTCACTCCTCTTTAATGGCTTTGTTCTGCTTACCTGCATAATCTTCTACTAACTTACACATTGGTTTACGCTAATTGTGATTATTTTCGTTAATTTTATTGCGTTTGTAGCATTGTTTTGAGTAACTTCTGAACATTTTGTACTTTCACGGATTCGTTGCTAACCAAATTACTTCCTATGATAATTTAGGGAAGAGTTGTCTGCATAGCCGTATGCTTTAACGGATATTTATTATTTGATAATGTCATTTCAAATGATTGGCCATTGTTTAACATCCCAGGTTTGGCTGCGCTTGGTCTGCATGTTGACTAAGTGCCTACTTGTCTATTACCTACTAGAACTGTTCCGTTACAGTCCCGACTTTTAGGGGACTGCGGCTACCATAGGAGTATCAGTCTGATTTCTATCGACTTCAAGTTACTATGCTTTGTTGTCCTGTATGCACTGGCACTCGCGAAATCAAGCTCAGTCAATAACAGTTAGCGATTCGTCTAATCTGAACCTGTACTGATCAGCCTTTCACTTTACGCCATTTGTTGAAGCAACGCAACTTATATTGAATTGCTGCCGTAGTCGTGTTCCTCGACCTCAGAGGTGCCTTCGATTTGGTGCATCGATGGGCTCTTTGGGAATAATTGATCAAGAAAGGTGTATTCGGGAAATAGATGGACGTCAGAGCGTTCTATACATGTAGTTCCATCCACGTAATAGTAGTGTGGGCTTATAGCAAAACACCACTGCGTTTCAGTGTATCCATTGCTGTGAGACTTTTGTCATTAAAGACGTATTGGAAACCGCTTACCGGATAGCACTTGAAAGGCATGGATCCACCTCCAGATGATCGGCATCCTAACTTGGAGTGTGTAAACTATACAGTTCTAATCAGTGACAGCTCATGAAGATAGCAAGCAGCACTAGACAGATTAGCGCTAACCATCAATTACTTCGGGCTTTAATTTCCACCATTTAATTGCAAGACTTGCCTCCAAGGTTGGCAGGAACTATCCACTGCGTTCAACCTTAATGGGAATCAATGAGAATGTGATAAAATATTAAACGACCCGAGCAGCTGTATGAGCGCCTGAGGAACGAAAAATTACGTGAAAACCGAGTAGCAAAAACTCGAGGTGCTTTTGATAACCTTCACCACTTATAGCGCCCTCACGATATCGCTCTCTCCCTGAAGGGCAGAGTTCACAATCCTGCCGTACTTGCGACCCCACTCTCCGATTCTGAAACATGGGACATTAGATCAACAGAGATAAAAGGATAGTTGCCTTCGACGACCGGTGTCTTCGCAGTTTCGCTCACATCTGGTAGGCTCACCGTGTAAGGAATATTCGCGTTTGGCGTCTTTTTTAGGGCACAGTGAGAGAAAGTGATCCGCCTAGCTCCATTATCTTGCGCATAAGGCTCCGATGGCTTAGCAACGCGGTGTGCATGCCAACACACCGACTCCCGCGACGTGCGTTGTTTGCGCCACCGGGGTGTGGATAGAATATTGAGGCCGGCTGACGATCTGGTAAGGAACAAAGAGGGCCCTCAGTTCAAATTTGGCTTCATTCGGAGCCTCTCGACTTCCTGCTTAGGGTCCGGAAGACGAACGCGTTTGATTGGTTGTAAGTAGTAGGGGATGTATTAGCTTTTTGGGTAGGTTCCTCGCAGTTAGACACAGGCAGACAGCCACCACACATCCAGGAAAGCGCTAGACGGCCGTTTCGTCCTATTGGGACTCGTCAGTAGCACGCATACGCCGAATCCTGCCGGATTCGAACCCACGACCTTACTGTTGCCAGTCAGCGACTTATGTCACTGAGACATGGGCGACGGCAGCGCACCGCCATGACTGATACCTAACTGCGATATAGCGCGGCTCATCCTCCACTGTCTTGCATCTCATGAATGTGCAGAGGACAGGGCTGGCTCTGCGGGTCGACTCACAGTCAGCTGGCTTTGGCTAATCTGGAAAAGCACCAGACCCCGGCTGGCACCCATAGCTGTTGGCATCCGGAAGTCATGCTAACGGAACCCGGCCAGGGTCCGCTGGAAGGCGCACCGCTGACGAGACTCGGCACGTCGAAACAACGGTGTCTGGTGCTTTTCCAGCCTATCCAAAGCCAGTTGACTGTGAGTCAACCGTGATGAACTGTATATACATACAAAATCCCCACTACTCATTAGTAATTAAAATATGTCCGTATAGCTTCTTTGTCCTTGCGTTGTACCAAGGCGCTATGCGGAAAGTCCTAGCTCGTGGGGCTAGCTGCTGTCCTCTGCAAAGTTTGTAATTGACATGGCGGTGGAAGATGAGCCGGGCTGTACCATAATGAACTGTCAAGCAGGCTGATCCGCGGCTGTCGCCCATGGTGAAGTGGCACTAGCTGCTGGCATCCGGAAGTCATGAGGGCGGAACTCGGCGGGGGTCCGCTGCACCACTGCCGAGACCCAAAATGTCGCAACACCGGTGGTTTGTGCTTTTCGAGGCTATCCAAAGCCTGCTGCCTGAGAATTGGCCGTGATGAACTATACCTGATCATGCCAACTCCTTACTACTCATCTGTCATTCGCCTTGAGGTTCCAACTATCCTAACTGAAAGCGGCCGAAGTTCGGTGGTCGCAATTTGACATGTGCAGCATGGCTTCAGTCTCCTATAAAGAGTCGCTCAAACGCGTGCCTTCCAGTCCTGGTTGTGTTAGAGGTTTGGCTCGCATACTGACTTCTACGTTGATGTGCTTGGCCGCACGTGATCCAAGTCAGGTCGCAGGAGTTTCCTGTCCTTTTGTCCAATAGCTGTCTTACTAATAGCTGGCTCCCAACCGGGTTCCGTAAGCAAACGTAAGCAGATGGTACTTGAATTTTCACGAGTCTGTCTTTACCTCAAGTATCAAACCATACTAACGCTCGTCCTTGTTTGACGTGGGCTTCAGATCGCTCAGTTTCCTGCAATAAACCCAATAGCGTACGCAGACGACGGCCAAACATAACCTTTACAGGACTTAATCCGATGATAAGGTTCCTCGTGTTTCGGTAAGCAAGGCGGGCACTATCCAGTTGTACACGAACTGACGCTGTGGTTGGTTTAAGCAGTATATTTTTCGCTATTTGTGCTGCCCCTCAAACCTAGCCATTTGAAGTCGGATGATTGGGAGCAGTAGTCATAGTCTACTATTACAAGTAGGGAAGGTGGCAAGCTCGGCGTTTCTAAACAGGTCCGTGGTTAAGGAGTTCAAAGGTAGCGAGTGTAGTTCGCATTTTGATTGTTACGCTAGATCATGTTGCTATGACCAGCGTGCGAGCTTCAACGACTAACAGGCTCATCTGACTTTCGAATAGATCGAAAAAGTCTATATGGACAGGTATACAGTGTGTTTCTAGCAGTCGCAAACTCTGCATAGAATGGAAATGTGGTTTACTGCAGTTAAAAGCTCAGGCTTAACGGGTCCCGTAGGATGGTCATCGTTCAAACTATTGCAAAATGTGAAGAATGTCGGCGAAACCACTTCACACCATTTATCTCACCGTCGTATACGCGTTATAAACTGTAAATCTACTGTAAGTCCGTGAGGAATGAGGACAAATGCCATGGGTAAAATTAGTGCCGTCTCCTGGTGAACACAGGTGATCATCACTATCATCAATACACATTAACTGAGAAGTTGAAACACACCTCAGGTAATGTGAAGGAATACAAAAAAGAGAAGCTCCTAAAAATTACACCGCGAAAAGTTCAAAAAGTACCTAACATAATGTTAAATATCGCATTATTCATTGGTCATATAATCGTAATTAGAAAGGTACCTAAAGAGAAGCTGGTTAACAAAGAAACTTACAAAAAGCCAACATTGTGGACGGCTCCTAGCCATGTCAGCAACTGTGTCTAACCAAACGCACTCATCGTCCTTCGGACCCCAGCCAGGCAGTCGGGAATCACCAACCGATGTCAAGTTCTAAGTGAGGGACTTCATTCCAGTTGATCAAGTCACCGCTTGGTCTCCTCTCTCCTCTTCTTCCATCCACACCCCGGTGGCGGAAACAACGCAGGTCGCGGGTGCCGGTGGGCTGGCATGCGCAACATGTGGACTAGCCATCGGAGCCTGGTGCATGATACAACGGTGCTGAGCAGTTCACTCGCTCTTCATGCACAAAATTCACGATACCGAACACCTCCATTGTTCACGCAGTATTCCCACTAGACATGAGCTAAGCTGCGAAGGCAATGATGATCAAACGTGACTATCCTCTTTACGTCTGTCGACCAGGTTTCACAAAAATGCATACAAGCGGGTTGAACGGACGGCTGCATTGTAAACTCTGCCCTTTAGGATAAGAGTGAGGTCACGTAAG